GTTTGAAGAATTTAAAACAAAGGTAAGAATTAGGGCTATTAAAGTGGGTTTCGATCAATTTGAAGGTGGATGGCTAAATTCTGTTGTACCTGCTCGAAAGAATTGGGGAGAACTTCTCCCATTATCCTGCAGATTCGCGAGAGAGAGGGTGAGATCGAAGAGAGAGGGATGCCCAGAATTTGGGGAAAACGTTAAGCTGCTGCTTTAGTAACTCCTTGGGCCGAAATGGAAAGTGTTGGGCCCAGCTGGTTGTGTTTTTCCGTTAAGACAAAGTGGCTGCAATTGGGACGAAAATTTAGTGTACTTAGTACACTTGGTCAAAATACTCAAGTTAAACACATAATACAATTAAGCAAAACACACTTAGACACATAATTTGGCTACTATAAATTTAGGCACTTAAAAATAAAATTGGACAAATAAATAAAACAAAAGCACAAAAGAATAAATAAGAAGACGAGGACATCCTCTTAAATCTCGATTTTTCAATTAGGTGAATTAATTAGAAAAATTAAACAGACGAGGACATCTATTTAATTTTAATAATCTTAACAGGGAAAAATATCGAGCACTACGACCAAAATAAAAGCGAGGTGAATAATAATAATAAAGATAATAAATAATAAATTCAAATAATCCTTACAACTATTATTCGATAAATAGCATATCCCGAGAAATTCTATAAATCGAACGGGGCGTTACACAATTCTTTCCGAAGACGTTGCGTACATTTTTGTACTTGCCCCTATTTACCCGTATTTTCCTCGACTCTTTTAAATGTGTACAATTTTGTTTCAAAACACGATGGGGCGATAAATATATGTTATCCACATCAAATAATGGTACTGTGTTCGAAAACAAGTCTTTTCGGAGCCATTGCGTACATTTTCGTACTTGCCCTTATTTACCCTTCTTTTTCTCGACTTTTTTAAACGTGTACGATTTTGCTTCTAAACACGATGGGGCGATAAATATATGTAATCCACATCAAATAATGGCGCCGTGTTCAAAAAAAAGTCTTTCCGGAGACGTTGCGCACATTTTCGTACTTGCCCCCATTTCCCTTATTTTCCTCAACTTTTTTAAACGTGTACGATTTTCCTTCAAAACACGATGGGGCGATAAATATATGTTATCCACATCAAATAATGGTGTCGTGTTCGAAACAAGTCTTTCCGGAGACGTTGCGTACATTTTCGTACTTGCCCCTATTTACCCTTATTTTCCTCGACTTTTTTAAACGTGTACGATTTTTCTTCAAACACGATGGGGCGATAAATATATGTTATCCACATTAAATAATGGTGTCGTGTTCGAAAACAAGTCTTTCCGGAGACCTCGCTTACCTTTTTCGTACTTGCCACCATTTACCCTTATTTTCCTCGACTTTTTTAAACGTGTACAATTTTGCTTCGAAACACGATGGGGCGATAAATATATATTATCCACATCAAATAATGGTGTCGTGTTCGAAAACTAGTCTTTCTGGAAACGTTGCGTACATTTTCGTACTTGCCCCTATTACCCTTATTTTCCTCTGCTTTTTTAAACGTGTAAGATTTTGTTTCAAATCACGATGGGGCAATAAATATATGTTATCCTCATCAAATAATGGTGCCGTGTTTGAAAACAAGTCTTTCCGGAGAGGTTGCGTACATTTTCGTACTTGCCCCTATTTACCCTTATTTTCATCGAATTTTTTAAATATGTAAGATTTTGCTTCAAAACACGATGGGGCGATAAATATATGTT